ACCGTTTCGATTGTGTTTTTAGTGAAGATTCAAATAGCAGTATACCATTTTTTGTTCCTTATTCATTAGACAGTGATGTCAGTAAAACCAATCATTTGAGTCAACTCGATAAATTCTGAACTAAAATGTAAAATACACAATTATCGGAGTTTCCAGAGCTATTTTTCTAACTTGTGCAAAATCCTAAAGTCTGCTCGTTAGGTAAATTATATAAATTTAGGTCACATAATTGGGTTGCATGAACATTTCTCTGAAGTTCTTTTTCACAAAGAATATTGAGAAATTTTTCACTGCCCCCCAAAAGCATTACTTTGTTGCACCGAGTTAGAGAAATGTTTGATACTACCTACTTCCGTTCTTGGCCACAGCTGGATTCTGAAGATTGATCCAAGGGACTATACTAATTTCAGGAATTGATTTGAAAGACCCCGGTTCTGCCACTTAACAACCATGTAACCTTGGGTAAGTTACAGAAACACACTGAGTGTTTCCCTATTTGTAAAATTGTGTAACATCCACCTAGCCTGTCCCAAAGATCAAACACACTTACATGTTGATACAACCTAGCTGTTAGGGGCTGTTACTCTTTTCAGCATAGATACTTTGTAAATTTTTGTTCTCAATGAGAAATAAGAGGAAGATTGGCCTCTTGAGAAAGGATACATTTAGAATCAGATAGGCTTGGATTCCTGTTCTTAAACCATTTGTTACTTTATATCTGTGAGCCTACCAGGAATTACATGAGCAAAGCACAGAACCTGCAGGCCCTCAGGGGCAAGGACTCCCAACTCGGTTTCCTATCTCCAGCACAGTGCTCGGCAGTTATGGGTGCGCAGTACATGTTCAGTGTGAATACTGGTTAACATTACTTAGACCTTACATCTTTAATTGCAGCTGCCAAATTAGAATATTATCTCAGGCTAGATGCCAGCTAAGAAATTTTATTCTATGAAATTCATATACTTGTGATATTTATACTGTTTTTTTTCTTAGTGGCAATTAATAGTTACATTAAGCTAAGGAGATTTTAATTCAAATGAATTGTAGTTGACATTAGGAAGGTAAATCTATAAATAATGTATAAGCAGTTTCGGAGTGACTTTTTATAGACAGTCTATAATTCAGGGAAACAAAAGTTTATCCAGCACCACTATTGTTTTACAGCTGAAGAATCAAACCCACAGAAACTGTGACTTGCCTAAGGCCACACAGCTCATGGAGCCCATGAGTTCATATTCCCTGACTTCTTTTGCTTGGAGCAAAATAAATGTTTTGTATTTTAGAATTACAGTAATCTAGAAGAATGGGGAATTGCCATTACTTCTAAGCAGTTTTTTTCTAGTTGGAAAAGAAAAAATTCTTAGTCTGAAAGAAAGGGTTCTTTATAACATATTGAACTATCTGTACATACACAGAAAACTTGCAGCCTTTCTCCAGGCCCATGTGAATTGTTCGACTTGATTTTACTTATGATGATCATACTGACTATGCCTGTGTCCCAAAGGAACTAATGAGATGTGTAAATAAACGAAATAACAAATTATAAGGAGATAAAGACAGCTGAGCTTATTTGGCTCTTTTCTTGCAAAAGATGTTAATTATAAGCTTTTGTGGAATACTGTTGTCTAAAAAAGATGAGACTCAGTGTAAAAGGTGGTAGAACTTTTCTGATTTGGGATACAACTTGATTGTAACAATTTGGCATGTTTAATCTCACGTTGTTATGTCTGGAGACTGCAAACAAGACCCTTGTGTGGCTGATGCCTCTATCTAGTCTTCTCCCAGGAAACCTTCCTACCGGCCCTGCTGGTCTTTTCACCAAGCCCTCGACAGCGTGCTTGTTCCCACTTCTGCAAATAGAACGCTGTTAGAGCTGCCTTCCTTGTCAGCCTTAGGCTTGTGTCACAGAGTTCCAAGAGAGCGAATGGCACATTCAAATTAGGAGAACTCAAGGGGATGTATTCCCAGAGATGCTCGGAGAAAAGGTGTCAGCCTTGAGCAGGCAACAACAGGGACGGCACGGTTACCTGGGGTGGCAGCATCGGAAGGAACAGGTGCCACAACCAGGAGTGTCTTGTGCAGCAGCCTGCCTGGAGAATGGCCTTCTTTTGAGGAACACGGCCAGTTCAAGGTGACCTGGAGGGAGGGGACCAAAGAAATGAATACCTTGACCTCGCTTAGCTGCCTCCTGATCTCCTTAGGGGGCTCCCCGTTGGCATAACTCCCAGAAAACAGAGGGCAGAGTAGAGAAGAGGGGACAGCGAGCCTAGAGGGGCAGTTGGATGGTGCCTGGCATGGTCGGTCATTTTACACGCCTCTCACCTCTTCAAGGAGCCCACTCGCCTTTCTAGACCAAAGAGCTTCAGTCTCTTTGGTTGATTGCTGATGGGAGCCTTCTGGCTGTTAGACCTTGTGTACTGTAGCATTGTTTAAAAGCTGTTAATTTTTAACTTCTAAATATATTTGTCCTAGTCACTCAGCTCGGTTTTACACTACAAGGTGTGACAATTAAGTTCGCGAACTTATTGCAACGAATGTTGTTGCTAACCTTTTTTGATATCAGAGGGATTATTCATTATGAATATGCACCAACTGGACAAACAGTTCACCAACCTTACTATTTGGAAGTGCTGAAAAGGTTGTGTGAAAAAGTTAGATGACCTGAACTTTTCGCCAATAATTCATGGCTTGCATCATGACAATGCAGCAGCTCACACGGCACTGTATGTGAGGGAGTTTTTAGCCAGTAAACAAATAGCTGTATTGGAACACCCTCCCTACTCACCTGATCTGGCCCCCAATGACTTTTCTTTACCCGAAGATAAAGGAAATATTAAAAGGAAGACGTTTTGATGACTTGCAGGACATCAAGGGTAATATGACAACAGCTCTGATGGCCATTCCAGAGAAAGAGTTCCAAAATTGCTTTGAAGGGTGGACTAGGCACTGGCAATCAGTGCATAGCTTCCCAAGGGGAGTATTTCGAAGGTGACCCTAGTGATATTCAGCAATGAGGTATGTAGCACTTTTTCTAGGATGAGTTCGTGAACTTCATTGTCTGACCTCGTATGAGTGCTGTGAATTTAAATTTTTTCCATTCTTCCTGGTACTTTGCTTGGTGCCTTGCACATAACAATATTTTCTGTAACTTTTATTTTAAAAAATTAAGCATTTACACAAGTAGAAAGAAGAGTGGAATGAACTCCTAGGTACGCATCGCTCCAGTTACAAATTGGCCATTCTTCCTTCCTGCCCACTCTCCACCGTGGTAATTTTTTAAGGAGCGTTTGCACGGATCTCTTGGAGGCCATGCACAGTATGCCCATTAGCAGAGGTCATGTTGACGTTGTTACTGAACCAGTAGGACTGTTTGTACTCCTAATTTTCATCTCTGTTATTCAAATATATTTTACGTCACTTGACATGCAATCCTATACAGATGCACACTGGTGGCCTCAGTGAATTTTTGTGAAAATTTAGAGTTGACCTTCAGGTCAACTTAACTCCGTCTCTGTGTTTGCTTTATCATGAGCTGTTTACCGAACCTGTTTAACAGAGACTTTTAATGCGACTTCACTTGTGCATCGATTTTTCCATGTGTACCCAAACTGTTTTTTCAGGTGTTTCTTGGTGTATTTTATGTTGTCACATCTGTTCTATAGCTGCCATTTCCATACTTATCCCCAAATGTATGGTACCTCTACGATGAGACACTTACATACATGTCCAGCGAGGGTTGGGGCGTCGGCTGCAGATTCCCATCAGCTCTAAAACTCAGGGTGTTTTGTCCGGTGGTTTTGTATAAGTGTTTTCCTGGAGGTGAGGTGAACGCCTTGCTATGTTCCCCTTTCTTTCTTAGGTGCATGCTGACGTGCATGGGGAGCAGTTGGCACCGCTCTGCCTCCCTCCTGTTGTGTCACGAAAGAAAGGGGGATAACGTGAGTTACCTTGGCGGTCAGTCCTGTGGGTGTCCAGAGCCTGTTAACCTCCAGGTTACTAGTCTGCCACGTGGAGGGCAGGGGGTCATAGCGCTAGAAGAACCACACCTGGTGCAAGAAAGTGAGTGTTCAAGGATTCCTGTCCTTAACTCATTTAACTAATTGGCACGTAACAGTGAACTGGCGGGAACACAGCTGTCAGGGACTGACCCCACAGGGGATCACAGGTCTCGGGAAGAGCCACAGCTCCCCTGGGCCTAAAGATGTGGAATTCCCAGACAGTAAGGTGACTTGAGTCACAAAGCTTTTAAACAGATTGCTCCGTTGCTGGTCCCCTCTTAAGGTTGAGTGTAGAGATTTCAAAGCATGTGTTCTTCCTACTTAAGACAGATGTAACGGAACTCCAGGCAGCCGTCGACTTGGGATTTTTCAGCTTCACGGTGGTGCCAAAGCGATGCGTACCCAGGAAAAACTGTACTTTGGATTCTGAGTTTTGATCTTCCCCAGCTGGCAGCGTGCCGCTATCTCATAGTTGTGGACAGCGCAGCTCCCAGGCAACCAAGTGGTCTCGAGCACAGACAACCGTCATCTGCAGTGTAGTGGTAAATGCACGTTTGAGGAGTGGCTGTCATCTTTTGTAAGGTGATGCCCTCCGGTTGTTTAGGGGAGAGAGTGGCCAAAGGGCCACTGGTGTCCAGGAGCCGGCTGGTTATCCTTGTTCAGGCTATGACGTGCGTCTCCTGCCATGAGTCAGTCAGGAAAGTGGGGAGGGCCGGCCACGTGTTAGGAAGGAGGGAGGAAGTGGTACTAGAGAAGCCACGAGTGAAATGTTTGCACTTTTGCCTCGTGGGGATCTACTTAGGGAGTTAGTGTGCCAGAAAGAGGAGGAATCTTAGCGGAGGAGCTGTAACTGCTGTTGGGTTGGGGGCAACAGGCGCTGAGGCTGCTCCAAGCCTGGGGGTGTGGTGGGAGTTTGGGTGGGATCTTAGCGGGGCCTCCTGGGGCGGGGGGGGGGGGGGGTCGTGACCCACCTGCAATAAGAGTGCAGAGCCCGTGGCTGAGGTTTAATCACAGCATGGTCCCTGGTCTTCTGCCAGTGCCACTAAAACTTTGCTGGCGTTTATTGAATGTTGTAAGATCCTAAAGAGCACCTAAAAATGTGGAAAAACAAAACGTTGCTGGAAGAAAGCCTAAACTTAAAAATGTGATCCAAGTCAACAAATTAATCTCACTTTAAGCCAAAGGAAATGTTTGAAATTAAAGGACTGCCGAGAAATAAGAGTTTTAAGTTTTAGGCTGAGAGATATGATAAGTACTTTTCTGTTTAGTGACTTCCTTGCCCATAACGCATAACTGGGACTTACACATAAACCGCTCTGAGGGAGGACTTGGCGTGTTTGGGCCTAGACCACAGCTAGCATGTCATTTGTGTCTTTCTTTGATGCCCCTTTTGTTTTCAGGAAAAAGAAAATATGTGTGTGTGTATGAGTGATACTTGACCACTTATGTGACCTCTGGGAAAAACCGCAGCACAGTTTGTGGTTTATCTTCAAGAAGACAAACCAAAGGAAGTAAAAGGAGGAACAAGATCATTGCTTTTATTTAGTTTCATTAGCACAGTACTTCCAAAAATTCACTGTGCCCTTTAAAATAGGTTAATGACTATGTTTTCATAATTCCAAAGATTTGTGGAGAAAAGACCTGAAATGTATGCTTTTCGTAAAATACAGTTATATTTGGGGTAAGAAGCTGTATTGGTCGTACTGGCTCAGCGGATGGTGCTTCGTAGAAACAAGGCTGTTCCCCAGACCCTGGGAATGGCTGTACCCTTCCATCAACTGTGCAGAAGACGGGGTGCTGACTAGATCCAGCTAGATGGCGAGGGGCAAGGGGGGAAGAAAGGCAGAAGCAGATTGTCCGTCTTTTCCAGAAATAAATGAGGGATGGAAAGCTCTCCATCCTCAGTCCTGAAGGAGACAGCATTCCAAGGAGAAAAAAACAGTTTGCGTCTCCGTCAGGTGCACTGGTGCGAGCCCCCATAGAGACTGTTGGGTTAGCTCACACTGACTCGCCCACATTGCCTGAGCCAACACCTGCAGTTAGCCTTAACCTGGTATTTCTTTCTGCTGTGCATTACCCCGTAGGTATGGAAGAAAACAGCAGTGTTGCCATGTTGGTGCCAGATATTGGGGAACAGGAAGCTGTACTGACTGCTGAAACTGTCATCAGTTCATTAGAAATTGATGAACCAAGAAAAGTTAAAACAGATCCGTTAATCCATGTTATCCAGAAGTTAAGCAAGATCGTGGAACATGAAAAGTCACAAAAATGTCTTTTAATTGGGAAAAAACGCTCACGTTCAAGTGCTGTGACGCGCTCTCCTGAAGCACAAGAGCCCTGTGAGGTTCCTGCTAAAGCGGCCCAGCCGCCTGCTGCTGCGGATGGAGGGGCCCAGGCCCCGCAGGTGCCCGGCCCCCCTGACGCCCCCGCCCAGAACGATGGGAAGCCCATGTCCTACCAGTGCAGCCTCTGCCAGTTCCTGTCGCCATCTTTCCCTGTGCTGAAGGACCACGTTAGGCAGCACGGCCAGCAGAACGAGGTGCTGCTCATGTGCTCCGAGTGCCACATCACGTCCAGGAGCCAAGAGGAACTGGAGGCTCACGTGGCTACGGACCACGAGGACGAGGCCAGCAGTCACCCTCAGCCCGGAGCCCCCCAGAGCGTGAGCCCCTCCAGCCTCATGGGCCCCAGAGCCACAGAGACAAGCCGCGAACCTGCTCCTGACATCCCGGTCGGGGTGAACAGCCCGCCGGCCCCCAGCCCCCGCGCCTCCGTGGCCGATGTGGGGCGGGGCCGGTGGTACGCATACGAGCAGCACGGCCTGTACCGATGCCTGTTCTGCAGCTATACCTGCGGCCAGCAGAGAATGCTGAAGACGCACGCCTGGAAGCACGCCGGGCAGGTTGACTGCTCCTACCCAATATTTGAGAATGAAAACGAGCCCCTGGGCCTGCTGGAGCCCTCGACGGCGGCCACACCTGGCGGGCTGGACGCAGTGGTCATCGCCATCGGAGACAGCGAGCTGAGCATCCACAACGGCCCAGCCGTGCAGGTGCAGATCTGCAGCTCAGAGCCCCTGTCCCCTGCGTGTCCTCTAGCACAGGGCGCCAACACAGCCATTGGTGTTGAGGGGCCGGCAGCCCTCGAGCCCCACGAGGAGGAAGTGCTCGAGGTGATTTCTGAGGCAGAGGACAGCCTGGCGGCTGACAGCCTGCTCTCGTCGGCACAGAAGATTGTCAGCAGCTGCCCCAATCAGCAGGGCCACGTGAACGTGATCGTGGAGCGCCTGCCGAGTGCCGAGGAACCACTCTCCCAGCAGAGTTTCCTCGTGGGTGCTGACATGGACGAGGGGAGCAGCCCGACACCCACAGAGGCCCAGGTCGGGGGCACGGGAAAAGGTGACAGTCCTTATGCCGGGAAGTGCACTGTGGACATCGGAGGGCTGATCCTCGGCTGGAGCAGCGCGGAGGGGGCAGATGGCGAGTTCCTGCATCAGGGCCTGGCCCCTGATGAGAACGCGCCCCCAGGCCGCAGGAGGACCAACTCCGAGTCACTCCGACTGCACTCGCTGGCTGCCGAGGCCCTGGTCACCATGCCCATAAGAGCTGCCGAGCGGGCACGAGCCAGCCTCCTGGATCCAGACACAGGGCAGAGGCAAGTGGAGAGCACGTTGGCAGCATATTCTAAAATGATGTCACCGCTCAGAAACCCTCCCAGCGGATTAACTGGCTTCAGCCAGAGCAGCTCCACGCTGGTGGCACTCCCAGGGGGCAGGCAGGAACTGTCCAGCGGGCAGGTGAAGACGGGCATCAGCATGTCCTTACTCACTGTGATTGAGAAGCTGCGGGAACGGACGGACCAGAACGCCTCGGATGACGACATCCTCAAGGAGTTGCAGGACAATGCTCAGTGCCAGCCCAGCGGCGATGCCAGCCTGCCAGGCGGCAGCGTTGTGGAGTACGTCCCCAGTGCAGAGCGGCCCTACCGCTGCCGCCTGTGCCACTACGCCAGTGGGAACAGGGGCTACATGAAGCAGCACCTAAGGGTGCACCGACAGAGGCAGCCCTACCAGTGTCCCATCTGCGAGCACGTCGCCGACAGCAGCAAGGCCCTGGAGAGTCACATGATTGGCCACTGCAAGGCCAGGCTGCACCAGTGCCGGCGGTGCGAGGGCACGTTCCATTACAAGGTGGGTGCAAGAGCCTGCCCGAGAGCCGGGGGTTAGAGCAGGGACAGGTCAGGAAACAGGCCCAGAATTGGATGGCTTAGCACCCAGGCTGGGGCCCAGACCTGGGTCAGCAGGATCCGGGGTAGCACTCCCTGCCTGCGCTCCGCACAGCCTGTGCCCATGCTTTGGTATGCCAGTTCTTCAGTTCCCTGCTGAGTGCTCACACAGATGCATGGGTTTCAAAGTGCGTGGGAGTGAATTACATGGGAATATGCTGTGGGCGACAGCGCGCACATGTGCACACACACACGTGATCACACGCATTTAATCCCACATCTTCCGTGGTCCCGAAATGCCAGCACTCCCTTCAGCTGCTGCCTGGCAGCCACGGTGACTAATTCCATTGCTGAAGGAAAGTGGGCTGAACGGTGTCAAGCGCTTGGTGAAGACCATACAGTGGAAATAGAGCCCTGTGGCTTATATTCCATGGGTGTTTAGAGGACTTTCAGGAATTACTCCCTGATTTTCGTCTTCTATGCGACCTTAAAACCAACAGCCAGCAGGCAATGCTACTGTAGCAAAGGAAACTTGCATTCATTGGGTCAGGAGTATAGAACTTTTCCTCTCCAACACGGCAGTTCACTGTTTGAAATTTTAAAAACAAACAAACAAAAAGTATCCTAAAGGGCTGACCAGGAAACAGGCATGTGACCTTTTCCTCTCAGATTACCCAGAGTTAGGTCTAGCTGACAGTGAGCAGGTGATCAGGAAAAGAGGCCTCAGTGACCTTCACCCCACCGCCATTGCCCTCCTGGACCTCTGCAGTGGCCTCGGGCCACTCGGCAAGCCACGCACAGCGAGCTCCAGGCGTGTCCAGTTCTGTGCCCTTGACCCGAGTGGAGGAGGAAGGAAGGGGTCCCTGGAGGAGCGGTTCCCATGAGGCCTCCCCAGCACCCTTAGTTGATATGTGAAGGCAAACCGAAGGGGGCCAGCTGTCACTGGGACTTGGTGCTGTGAGAGCGTCGAGCTGTGACACTGCTCTGGGCCTGTCGGTCTTAAGAAGCTGCACACACCACACAGACGCGGAGACAGCAGTGGCTTCCTTATGGGGAACGTGAGACGAGGACCCGTCTGCCTTTTGGATTAGATCGTGATTTCCCTGGTGTATTTCTTTCCATAAACAGTCAAAGGTGTCAAATAATCTTTAGCACATTTGATTATAGACTATTGGTAATGTGTTCTAGGTACCAGGCTGTGGAAGCAATTAACTCCTAGTAACTGCGAGTGTGTTTACTGAAAATCGTGTGTTCATTTCTCTCCGTTTCTTAGAGTCAGCTGAGGAACCATGAGAGAGAGCAGCACAGCCTTCCAGACACAGCCGTGTCGACAGGGGCTCCCAGTGAGCCAGGTGTGCCCAGCGACCCAGCCGGGGGGACACATGCTCAGGAAGGTATCTGCACTGCCCAGCCTGGGCCGTGAGAGAGGCCCTTGGCTATCACTTGGGTCACTTTGGGGACTAGAGTTGCATGTATATATTCTCCTGTCTTGTGCTGGCGTGGGAAGGACTCTTGTGTCTGTTGCTGAGGAAATTCTGAGCCCTAAGTGAGGTGCTGTGGTTGGAAGCACTCAGCTTCCACTGTGGGGCAGATGCTACGTGGGGACTGCTGTCCCACCGCAGCCAAGTGCAGCATAAACCCCGAGGTGACGTGCCAGCAAGCCAGGGAGATGCAGCCCAGACACAGAGCCTGTCACCCTCCCGGGTGCCAGCAGGCCCGCTGAGGACACAGCTTTGCAGGTGGCAGGCCCCACCTCAAGTCTTACCTGAGGCTTCCTTCTGTGACCCTGCTGTTACCCAGCATGACTGCCGGTTTCACCTGCATGTTTCCAAAAGCCCCAACAGGCCTTCCTATGCGCTAGTTAGTGCCAGCCGGCCGCGTTGGTTAGACTCCATGAAGAGGCAGGCGCCACGTGTGGAGAGTCAGGGTCGAGCGTCCTAGGCTGTGCGTGCTTACATCGCTGCCTTAAGTCAGTACACTCGACATGTCTTGAGTGTAATGTTTATAGGAAATAAAACTTACTGGGTGATGTTCCTGTTTAGATTTCCTGGGAATTAAAGTTAGGAACAACTGCAGAGCAAAATGTCTCCCCATGATGTTCATTAAATTATACCCCAGAAAGCATAACTGATGCTGGAATGTTTCTCAAAGAGCTGATTTGGACACCACTGCAGTGCCAAAACCCGCCTGTCAAGCAGCTGTTATCCCTGTAAAACTCTCGCAGACAAAGGGACTTTATGACACAGCGTCTGTTTCTGCGATAGCTGGCTGAGCTCAAACAGTTTGGTTCCCATTTTACCAACTAGCCCCAGATGCCTCCCTTTATTGTAGCTCATTATGCTTGCACAGCCCCTGTAAGGAGGCGCTAAAACCTACAACCTGGGCATCTTTGCCCGTGAGTCCCGAAGAAGGAAGAAAGCAGCCTGCTCAGTGGCGCCACCTGCAGTTGACAGCAGGCTGGAGTGTGTCTCCAGCACCACCTTCTAAAGCAGTGATGTAAGGCTGTCCATGTGGGGTAACAAACTACCACTCATTCTTTTGGTGAAAAGATTATAACGTCAGCTCGTCAGCTCAAAATTAAAATACCCCGTTGGAGCTTTCTAGCCCTAGTGCATCCACCGTCCTCCATTTGCAGCATCTTCTCCCTCCTGGTAGACTGTACTGTCCCCTTGGGTCCAGTGTTTGCATTTTAAGTCACAGCCACGCCTTCCCCCACCTGGCTTCACTCGCTACCGCTGTCATGGTGTGTGACCAGTCAGATGACGGTGACCCCCGCACACCTATACCCACACAGACGCCTTATCGCTTCAAGGTTAGATCTCAGAATTCAGTTGTCGGGCCAAAGAACAAGTGTTAGCTCATAAAGAGGGTAAAAATTATTTGTGTTTCTTAAGACATTTTTAACCATTTTGTAAACGTACTCAACCAGAGGGGAGATGTGTGCTATACACAGCACAGGTAACTGGGGGGGAGCGTTTCTCCCCAGAGGCCCAGGGTGACGGCACCTGGGCCGTGCACACTGCCAGAGGCATGGAGCGGGCGTCTTGAGCTGGATCCCGGGTGCTGGGAGCACAGTGGGGGCTTCACTACCTGTCAGGAGCCCAGTGCAGTGACCGGGCCAGCAGCCATGTCCATGAAGATCTGTGTGTGCCACAGGTGCTGTGCCAAAGCTGTGGGCAGAGCACGCCCACACATAGACTGGTCTGTAGTGTGCACCACGATTGCCAGCTCCAGGAACTTTGTGAGCATGGCAGGCACAGCCATCTCAGTGACACGCGCACACTTCACACAGGAGGATAGGGAGGCCCAGGCTAGGGGGGGTGGGGAGGGGAGGACACGCTGCTCCTGGGCACTGACCACACTGGGCAGTCCTGCTGCCCCGTTTTGTCGTGAGCAGACAAAGTCCCCAGGATAAAGGTACTTGCCGGATCGCTCCGGTGCTAGGGGCAGAGCGAGGCCCAGGCCCGGGGTGGGGACTTGGCCTCAGTGTTCTGTCCATTGGCACAGTTGCTTGAAGTAGCACAGGCTCAGTCTGTGCTATATTAAGTCTTTCCATCTGTCATTTTCATTAGTTGTCATTGATCTGTAATATTTCTCGCACAAAACCATTACCCAATATTTCACACTTAATTTTTTCAGGGTTTTTTAAAAACTGTATTTGGAACAGTGCCACTTATAATAACCAAGTCCAAGTTTTTAACCTACCAATTAAGAGTAATACTTAGATTATAATTATGATTAGTGTATGTATTAACGTTATAGATTGATCCCGGAAATTAGGACACTTTGTTCTGCCTGGCAAGGGAAAATTTCAGTTTTAGAGAGCTTCCATTTAACTTACGGACTTCCTTTGTTTTGTTCAAACGTCAGTGTGGGTTTCCTTTTGTACCGTCAGGTTACCTCCATGCACTGAGCTAGCACTCCCCCTGCACGCTCTCCCACTCTGCCATGTTCAGCGTCCATACATGCCTCCTGAGCATGCGGCACAGGCTGTGAGCGGCCTGTGGACTTGGCTGACACAGCAGGCCAAGCCTGTGTTCAGGACTGCCTCCCGTGGTCCTGTCATTCAGCTGTGCCGTCTCGCGCTCTCCCAGGCTTCAGTTCCTGGAGGCACAGGGCTGCATGTGCACACTCATCCCCGCCTTTGTCTCTTACTCTGTCAGGTTGCAAGATGCAGTGATGAGCGTTACGTGGCACTTCACCGCACCCTGGCTGTTCCCTCCATTGTCACTGATAGCTGACAGTTATAAACAAAGGAAACCCAAGACTGAAACAGCATGAGGCTTTTTAGATCAAGTTCGTTGCATAATATGCTCTGTAGCCATACTTTATAGAACATTGGATTATGGTGTTAAACTACAGCTTGTTGGCAGATCAGTGTTTCTCAAAACGATATATCCAGTATTGATTAGACTCACACCTTTCAAATTCACCCTGCATCTGTGGTTAATGCAGCTGCTACCCAGTTAACAGGGCAGCTGGCCCCCACTTCATTAGATTAGACTTTCGTACGAGGTGACATTGAAACCAGCCCGGAGTATGGCCACAGGTCAGATGACATGCAGTTTATATTTGCTGGTGGTCCATAGGCAGGCGAGGCTGTGAAGCCATGTTCAAACTCGGTAGCTTTATTAAGCAGTGAGGAAGCCTTGACTGAAATGTTAATACTGTGTCGTGATGTTCATTTACCATGGCTTGTAAATGCTGCCATTTGGACCTAAGTGGAGCATGTCGCTAAAACTCTGAAATGCCTTGTCTAGAGAATAAGTCTTCAGTCCAGAAACAGTACAGATGTGATGTGTGTGATTACACGAGTACAACGTACGTTGGTGTCAGAAACCACAGACGGATCCACAACTCGGATAAGCCATACAGGTGAGTGTGCCAGCCCTGGATCGCTAATGCATGTGTTAAAATATAGTGTAAGACCAAAGCAGAGGTCATTAAAAACTCCTGACACTTTTTGGAACCCAGGTTAAGCACTAAGAAACTTTCACTTACTGGTTTCATGGGTATTGTTTAGTTTGTTAAAAAATACGAAATTTAAGCTTGAGTCTTAGGACAGTAGATATTTTGTCTAATTGAAATACAGGAAGATGTCTGAGCTCTGCTTTCAGTTTCCTACAAGTCGTCACAGCCACTTTCAGGCTCAGAACACCTGTCAGGAGGTCGACAGTTTGTCTCCGTGTTCCAGCAAAAGATCCTTAAAACTTCAAAGCAGCAAAATTCCCTGTGAAAGATTCTGTTTTTGAGAATTACTCTATCGTGTATAGTAGCATTAGGTCATTTAATTTGATTTTGTTACTTGATTTTTTCACAGAAGCCAATTCTAATAGATGTTTTCAGAAAACATAGGCATTCTCAGTTATCAAGACAGGCTGGTAAATAGAAGTCGTTCTTTCTTACACTGCCGCTTGACAGCTCGTGTACATTTTGTCTGTCTGTCACAGAGCAGCGTGGTCTCCTGTGGCCATGGTGGGACATGGTTCCCACTCTGAGCTCAGCCGGAGAGTGCTCGGCCATGGGCAGGAACTCTTTTAACCCCTTGTCAAAACTTGTTTCCTGTGTTAACTCTGTCCCAGGTTTTATAGGTGTGACCCAGGTGAGTGTGGGAAAGTGACTGTGTTCCTCTCTAAATGGAAACCTGACAGACTATCCCTAAAAATGCCACTATTCGGTCCTGTATGTATAGTTTTAAATATTTAATCTGTGCTTAATTTGCTAACCAGCAGACTTCTTCGTATCATATCACGCTTTAGACAGTGTATCTGTTTGCTAAGACTTGTGGCTCTGTGGAAGATGCCTGACCTGGCTTCCATGACTGTTTTGTTGTTGTTGTTGTCCCCAGAGGAAAAGACTTAGCTGTTTATTGATGTGGAATCAATCATTTGGTTATGGAGCAGGCTGGTATAAAAAGGGTATTTTTCTAGGTTTTTAAATTGTGGTAACATTGGTTAATAACATTGTATAAGTTTCAGGTATATAATGTTATAATTCTGTATCTGTATACCCTTAGCATGCTCATCACCAATACCCTCATTTCCATCCGTCACCATATATTTGGCCCCGTTTACCCATTTCACTCTCTCTACTCCTCCCCTGCCCCCCCGCCCCCTCCCCCGCTCTGGTAACCACCAATCTGTTGTCTGTATCTATGACCCTTTGTTGTGTTTTGTTTGTTCATTTGTTTCTTTTTTCATTCATATTCCACATATGAGTGAAATTATACAGTTTTGGGTTTTTTTCCATCTGACTGACTTCACTTGGCAATATTCCCTCAAGATTCATCCATGTTGTTGCAAATGGTAATATTCCATCTTTTTATGGCTGAGTGGTATTCCATTGTGTGACATATATATATATATATATATATCACATCTTTATTTAAAACAAGACCCCTAAGAAAAATTTTTCCCCTGAGTATAATGAAGGTCATTAACCATTATTTACAATAACTCAGTGCCATAAAGTGTAGGTGACGAGTAGTAGATGGTCTTTAACATGTATCATTTATGATTCACCCTGGGAAGTCTTTAGGGGATGTGAAGGAAGCGGGGCGCCGGTGCATCTGGTAGGAGGAGAGAGCTTTGCCTTTTTATTTTTGGTGTCTTTATTCTAAATTTGATGACATGCCATGCCAAATTCATGTGATCTGGGCAAGGATAAAATGACATTCTCTGTGTCTAGAATTAGACTGTTCATTCAGCTTCATCAAGAAATATTTATTGGGCAAATATTATGTTCCAGTAGCTGTGCCGGGCTCTTAGGCTGTAGTCACAACAAAGAAGGCACCGCCCCTGCCTTCGTGGGGCTTCTAGACAAACAGTAAACAAGTGAGCTGTCAAATATGCAGTCGTGCCAAACTCAGGAGAGGTCAGTGATGGACCTTGTTTCTGTCCAGGAGTTTCGCATCTACCTGGACAGGTTAGTCTTGCAGCTTGAAGACTCAGTTTGATAGCTTTCGGTGTCTTGGGGACTGTTTTCCTCAGTTCTTAAAATTTAATTCACTGACTCTGGATGGTTGCGTTGTCCTGGGGTCTTTCTACGGGTGGGCAGCACCCATGAGCACCCTCTTCCTGTCACAGCAGAGGAGCCTCAGTACGTGGTCTCCAGATTTACTTGCACCACGCTTTGTGCCGGCCTGTCCTGAGTGCTTCTGGGAGACATGCTGTGCTGTGCCCAGGTAGACACTCTGTCGCAGCTAAGGTCCCCAGGCCATGTTGACCGCCTCGGAGGCAACCCAGTGACTGCGGGAGACTCATGCTTTAGAGTCTCAGGCCTGGGCCAGACACTGTCTCAGTCCTGTGCCCAGCTGGGGACCTTGGGGCGATAGTCCAAGTTCAGCCTCCTTCCCCAAATGCACCTGGGGAATGTACAGCCTGGCGTATAAAGCTCGTGGGGTCGAATGAGATTGTGTGTGGCCAGCACTAAGCACCCCGCCTGTCCCCTTCCTCTGCTCCTGATGTCATGAGGTCGGGTTGAAAGCCCTGCCCTCACTACAGGAGAGCCGCCTTCCCTCCCTGGGTCAGGTCAGGACACACGAGAAGGTGCTGCCCAGGCCTGCCAGACGCAGTGCTTAGCTCCTCATGCTTTGTGAAGGAACGTTTATTGCAAACCACACACCCGCTGACGGAATGCCTGGTGGTGACAACATGGACCCCAGTTACCAGAAGGTTCTCTTCAGCGCTTCCAGATAGCACATTGTCCTTGGTTTAGTTTAACATCGCAAGTCTAGCATTGCCCTGGTTTACGGCCCCAAATGCCACTTTTCCTCAGGTGACCAGTGTCCTTGTATGTGGCATCGAGCCCATCTTCCCTCAGAAACACAATTATATCAGTATTTATGTTCCAAAACCACAGCATAGTGGGTGGAGGGTAGGGGACAGCGTGACACAGAGGGCGGCATGGGCTTGGAACCAAGAACCTGCGCACAGGGCCTGGCGCGTGTGCCCCGCGAGGTGGCGGGCAGTCCTCTGTACCCCTGGGCTTCCTCTGCTTCTGGAAGTTGATTGTAGTTTGAAAATAAGTGGACAGTGGCAGCTGTATCTTTTCTCTTCACGTACAAGAGCTGCCCAGATGTGTGTGTTGATTTTTTAATAGCCAGTCTAGAAATGCCCAATATTTCCTTAAATAGTTAAAAATGATGCTGGACTGGCCTTGGCCCCAATGCCTCAGGATGTGGAGTAGAAGGTAATGCTGCGCCGCCTACCATGAAGGGAAATGTGGCTTGGAATTCAGAGTTCAGTCCTTGCGGGGTTCACTGTCATCTCCTCTTAGGCCTTTTGATTTTTTTGTTTTAATTAAAATTTATTGGGGTGACAGTGGTTAGTAAAATTAGGCTCTTGGATTTTATGCTTCATTATCGCTGGCCATGTCTCTTATGTTGTACAGGAGAGTTCAGACCACTCACCTGATTTGTTAGGTTTGTAATTATTCAACAAAAATGTCTTCTAAAAAGTACATTTGCAGTTTCTTAAATACACACACACACACACACACACACACACACACACACACACATACACATAATTTTACCCTACAATCCAGCAGCCATGCTCCTGGGTATTTACCCAAATGATGAAAACATGTCCACACACAAACCTGCACGTGAAAGTTTCTAGCAGCTTTATTTGTGATCGTCACCACCTGGGAGTGCCACGTGTCCTTCAGTGAGTGATGAAGGAACAGACAGTGGGCAGCTCAGCGGGAGGAAGGGGTCTCAAGGCATGTAAGACACAGAGGAGCCTGAACGCCTGTGACTGAGTGAGAGAAGCCAGTTTGAAAGTCTGCCTGCTGTACAACCCTGACTGGTGACGCTTAGAAAGGCAAAACTATGGAGACACTTAGAAAGGCAAAACTATGGAGATAGTGAAAGAATCCATAGTTGCCGGGGGTTACGGGGGTGGGAGGAGTGTGTGGGGAGCACAGAGAATGTTTAGGGCAGGGAAATTATTTAGCAGGGCACTGTATGGTGGGCACGTGACATTAGGCATTTGTCAGAGCAGAGAATGAAGTGTGGGGTCCCCTCACACGCGGCTGGGAATCTGCATCCAACCCCCGCACTCGGGTCACCTTATGGACTGTAGTTAATTAACATAAGGGTGTAACCCCACGCCACACTGACACAGGCCATCACTCGGGGTAAACAACGCCGGAGGGGAGGCCTAAAAGGCCCTGAAAAGTGGTTTGTTTTTAAAGAACTTCAGACGTGACCAGTTATGTGTGCGCAGTTATGGGAGACAGTTCTTTTGAATAGAAGCTTTTTAAAGATTACTGATGACTTGTTTTATTTATGAGCTCTAAAGCGTTGAAGCTTTTCTTGACTACACCCCTGTCTCCTGTGGACCTGTCAGTAAACACGTGGCTCGTGTTGGAAATGACCAGATTAGTTTTGATTTTTAAAGGAATCGAACAAGCAGAGCGTTGGTGTTGTGTGTTCCCCTTGTGTGCGTGGTAGAATAACTTAGAGCATAGGTCTTGCGTGTTACTCTGTCAGAAACCTGTGCCCTAACAGCTCATGTAATCTGGGCGTCTGTCTTGACCCTTGTAGATTCTCCGAAGCGCAGAGCATTGGTTCCATTGCTTCTAGGGCACCCACTCTAGGACATTCCCGCCTCTGAAGCCCTGTGGCTCTGAGGTTCAGTGACGCCTTAGACTCCATGAAACACGGTGTCTCACAAGCTTTAGGAGAAGAGTTTCGTAGTTGTCACTGTCAGAGGTGATGCTGTGGGACCGGCTGACCCCTCGTGCCTGTTTCCAGGTGCTCGCTGTGTGGCTATGTCTGCAGTCACCCCCCCTCCCTGAAGTCCCACATGTGGAAGCATGCAAGCGACCAGAACTACAACTACGAGCAAGTGAACAAGGCCATTAACGACGCCATTTCCCAGAGTGGCAGGTATTTTACCCCGCCCCTTCTCGGTAGAGGTCAGTGGCAGTCCTTCGTTCTAACCCACTCAAGGTGTGCCGTTTGTTCTTTGCTTCCTAAGAACTCTAGGGAAATCCCCGGGGAAGCCTCTTCTAAACAGCAGTGAGGAGATTGCTGGTCCCCTCCCTGGAAGTCCAGAGAACTTGCTGTCGCCCCCGGAGCTCGTCTCCCAGGCCCCCAGCGAGAGTGAGAAACTGAGCCCCTCAAGCGAGCCCACCACCGACAGTTCAGAAAAGCCCACGAGCACGGCGCCTCCCGGGATGGAATATTGCGTTCTGCTCTTCTGTTGTTGTATTTGTGGTTTCGAGTCAACCAGCAAAGAAAACCTGCTGGATCACATGAAAGAGCACGAGGGTGAGATTGTCAACATCATCCTCAGTAAGGAGCACGGCACGACCCTGGACACGAATTAGACACAGAGGCCTGGAGAGGAGCCCTTTAAACCCGGTTCACCCTGGCTATCAAATGACCCACTAGACAACAGAAGAAATAGTTGGTGTGATTTTTAAGGAAATGACACATGACTTTGGAACCAAATCGGTAATGTAATGGAAGGGATTCCAAATGGGTACGCGGTGATAATAGTTAAACACTCTGAGTGAGGGAAATGGGCTGAGGAGGGAGCAGAGATGTAACCCCGTATGAGCCCTCTGTCGCCTCTGCTTAGGGTTGAGCGAGCGTATTTGTTATCAAAAGCTTGCTGCAGTGGAGAAGTGCAGGCAAAGAGTTGAGGAAAGGTTTGCAAGAACTAGTGTAAAACTTATCAAAGGGTCACAGTCGTAGCAGAGCTCGGGGTTTCTATCTTCTCAGTTCTGACAAGCCAGCTCTGGAATGCCAGGCCTCCTGGGAGGCGGCGACAAGGAAAAGCCGGCTTTGAGATGACCTGCCTAGATCCTTCCCCAGGCCGATGGGAATTAGTCATAGACTCGATCTAAGACATATTGCTTTAGTCCTTAAAAAAGAAAGACCTCTGCATCCAAATCTAGATTGTACATAGGCGTTTAAGGAGTCAATTTTTTGTCTTCACTTTACAGAGCATTTCCTGTGGGCACAGGAAGAAATAGGTGAATCTCCACCAGACTCAGACCAAATCTCAAGGTTGAGGAAAATGGAACTGAGCACAGTGCAGTTACTTCTTGAAGGTTCTGGTCAGTGTTTGATGATCCCCGCAGTTGTCTAGATGGTCGCACAGCCTCCCTACCCTCTCTCCTGAGCTAGAGCAGGCTTTTACCTGAAAGAGCCCAGGGGAGCAGCAAAGGCCGAGAATTTCCGTTTGATCAGCAGACCTTGGAAATTGATGAGTTTTAATTCGAAAATAAAAATCATTGGGGGAAGAGGGGTGAAATCCAGAAGCCCCTAAAAGTGAGCGCTGCTACTGAGATTTTACTTCCTGGATTTACTAAGTCGGTCCACTTAGCATAAGAGGAAAACCAAGTGTGACTAAAACCTAATGAGAGTTCAGGTTGTTATCAACTTCTAGAAACAAACAGCATTCAGCAAGTCTCTGGGAGTTCCCCATCTAGGAAATGACCTCCATTTTCTTGGTGTGCAGGAGGGTCCGTCATTAAAATGCCAGGAAGTAGGTGTGATCTCGTTAATTACACATTTTGTATTTTAATATATTTCTGAGTGAAGAGAACAGGGTTTTTTGTTTTGGCTTTTGTAGCTTGATCATTATTTATGCATTGTTTGTTGAACGCGTTTGCCGCACGGTGCCTGCCCTCACGGTGCTGCTGTTTCTGAGCCGGCGGCCAGAAGCCGCCTGCTAGAGCCGAGGCTGGAACTCTGGCAAACGGGAAACATTGGGAGCAGGGTTTTTAATGGGGTTCTCTGTGGACTCAGGGAAGAAGTCTCTCCCCAAAGTCCAGGTGTGAATTGAATGAATTAACATTTTAAGGTAGCATTAGGAGTTATTTGATCGGGGCCAGGCATCTTAAAACACTGTCTGATTTGTTTTTCTAATCTTATTTTCACAACGATATTTAAACACAATTGATTGTAACTTTGCAGCTCTTTAATTTAGGTAGTCTTAATTTATTTATGGAAGTTCATCCATTTTCTGGTTTTTAAAGATAGAATGAATTTATATGTAGTAATTATGTTCCCCAAATCCGCTGCATGTGGATACATATTCATTTTCTCCTGTTTTAAGAATTAAAACAATTATATTTCATTTCAAATTCAAATAAAATGTTTTACATGGTTCCATTATTATCACTTACATTGTTGCCCTCAGTCAGTCCTTTCATTGCTGGTAGCTGTAACTCATTGTTTCTATACAAATATTCTGAAAATTAACCTTAGAAGAGTTTTGTTTTATAAATTTCCTTGGCTTTAATTTTTTATAATCATTTGGAAAATACTGATAACCAAAAAACATCCCCAAAATTCCAGCAGTGAATTTTTTAAATTACCTTTTTTGATTTTCTTAAACCACTTGCACTGATTGTGACTTTTTGGAATCATGGATTTAAATTTCCCCCTAGCTCACGGGGAGAAAACTAACTCAGAGGTTCCATCTTTAAACGCTCCTGTGATTCTGGCCTGGGATGTCCTCAGCAGCTTCCCCCTGGCCGGCAGGAAGGCCCACGCGGCCGGCACGGTCCTCTCCCTCCCAGAAATGTTGCGGCAAGCCCGAGGTTGGTGGTGCCGCGCGCGACCCAGAACGACTGAGTGTTTCTGGAAATGAGGGCTCAATCCGCAGCTTCAGTTGGAGAAGTGCGAGGTGCGGACGCAGCCAGCAGGAACCCCTTTTGTAGGAGCAACACCTCATTGACGGGCCCTCGATCTTTAGCCGTTCACACCCGTAGAATTTGTTTTCCACTCTGAACACTTACAGTTCTAAGATCTGACAATGAAAAGAGGTTTTTAAAGAAACTCACTGGGCAAGGCAAAGATGCGGAGAGGGTAACGCTTCCCATCATTATAAATAATACTTTCCGGGCTCTGTCATTTCCTCTGCCTGGTAATGCAGAAGGTGGTCAGCGTCCCCAGTGCTCTAACCGCCCCACACCTCGATCCCAGCTGCTCTGCAGACTGAGTTCTGTGTGCCGCCAGTGCAGTGTGGTGACACTTCTGAAGTCTTTGTTCTACATCTGTCCTGTTGGAGGCAGTGTTGGGTGGCTTCCTCATGTCCTCTGTCTTTCCCCACAAAGCAGGTGGCACGCACCCATGTTTACATTGTATCTTCCCGCAATGTACTAAGCTGACAAAGACAAGCAGGTTCTCTATTGAGACTTACTATATTTTTAGTTTTCATACATACTTATTTAATCTTTTTTATTGTACAGCAAGGTGCTCTAAGTGATATTCTATGAAATCTATTTAATAGAAATCTGAGTTTGATATTCATGGACATGATACATGTATTTTTTTAAGAAATAAGTATTGTGTAACACTATGGCATTGCTTCTGTAGCCAAAGTCTAGAAGTTTCTGGAATACTGACAGGTAAAGACTACCATAATTCTGCCACTGTGTCCTGTTCCAACAGACTGGTTTGCATTTTGTAAAGCCATGAGGTCGAGCTGCATGCCCAAGGCGGGCGCTGCAAGGCTGTGTCCGGGGGGCGCAGTGTGCCTGGTCTGCCACGCGGGGTCTGCAGTGCTGCAGGAACGACCTTTGGAACACTGTGCAACGTTGCAGTAACTTATTGTGCTTTATAGGAGTTTGTCATGTATTGACTCTAAGATTATATTTTGGTAATAAATTTTTTGTTAAAAACACTTGCCTCTAAGTTATTAACAAGAGAGAATATCCATTCTTACCTTGGAAATGTTGATTTGATCACTTAGAGAGTTAGGTTTAGTTAATGAAGAACTTCCCAAGGGTTAGACTAAGGTTTACAGTCACCCTTTGGTTAACTTGTTAAACAGCTGCTGACCACCATCAATCTGTGTTACACAAAGATGACTGAAAATGCGTTAGATTGTTTTGCTCATTTTAAAAATTCAATCTGATTTTGAAGCTTTTTTTTTCTGACTACACAGTTCTTCATTTTATCTTCCAGATCACATCCTTATGTTACATGCTTTAAATTCTGGTGTAGTCGTGCTAAAAACTAGCTCTGTCAGTGATGTTGAGGCCAAAGGTGACATGATGTGGTCACGCCGTGGGCATTTTGTGGTCAATAGCAGGTGTTTCTCACATTAGATTTGTTGGTTGCCAGGTGACGCTAACATCCTCTAATTGTCTCTTCGGTCTGCTTGGGCCCTGGCACCCTAGGCCACCTCTTCTCAAAGCATCTGAGGCCACAGTCTCCCTCTCAAACTGTAACCCCGTGTTCTGTCTCCTGAGCGGCAACACGGTATAGCCCCTGTCTTTCAAGAACCAAACCCCAACATGACACTGAACTTGAGGTCGGTTGTAGGAACCCTAGCACGGAAGGAAGACCCAGGACGTGGCCAGAGCCGCATATGCTGGAAGCGCGCAGCTAACAGTGTTGAAGACTTAGTACAAAAATGTAAAGTCTGTCTAATGGTTTTTTATATTGATTACATGTTGAAATGATATTTTGGCTATTTTGGGTTAAATAAAACATTAAAATTAACTTGTTTTCATTTTTTTTAGTGTAGCTAGTAGAAGATGTAAAGATACATCTGTGGCTCACGCTGTATGTTGGACAGCGCTGGCATGGAAGGGGTTAAGTGAAAGCCCTGCCTCATTCTGGCTGCTCCCTGCTTTTGTAAACATAATCCTGTTGGCACACAGTCATGCCGCTTAGCACATATGGTCCGTGTGATTCTCACGGTACAGCAGCAGCCCTGAGAAGTGGCGGATCGCACGGCCCATGAGGCCCAGCTTATCAGCTACATACTGGATAGTAAATAGTTTGATTGGGAGTCTGCAGCCCTCTGGACTGCAGCAGTGCTGTGATCTGTGCTGGAAGCAACCAGGAGGAAGGATGCTTTTTATAGCCCCGTTTTATGACTGAATTATACCATTTCTCCCTCTGTAATTTTATAAAGTCTTCCTGTTCTCCTACAGCCCTCATCCATAATCTGTGTCACTATTTCATCATTTCTGCTATTTAAAGCCAAACACAATTGGTTTAAAATAACAACGCACAATTAAATAATAAACAACGCTGCTGTGAAAAGCATTGTCTTGTTTTCCCCCTGACAGTCCTACACGCCGATGGCACCCTGGGCGCTCAGTGCTCAAGACCTGGTCACACCGCCGAAACGCCTGGCTGGTGCAAGGCAACAGTCGCAGCCACTGCACTCACCTCGGGGGACAGTTGACTTGAATAATCCAGAACATAGGGCCGGCTGAGTGGCTCAGTTGGTTAAGAGCTCGCTCAAGAGTTTGAGCTCTGAGCAACAGCGGTTCGAGTCAGCCCGAGCTGAGCAGCCGCTGAGCTGCCAACAGGTGGCAGGATGGCTCAGCTATAAAAAAAATAAAATAAAATAAAAAATAATCCAGAACATAAAAGGGTCCTAGGGTTCGGCCGAGTGGCTCAGCTGGTTAAGAGTTGGCTTGGGACGCCAGCTCTGAGCAGCAGGGCCCGGATTCGGATCCCACATTGAGGGCCAGTGACACTGCCCTCTACAGCTAAGATGGTGAACAACAGCTCAACCTGGAGCTGGGCTGCTGTGTGTCGCCGGTGACAGCGTAGGCTGCAGTGGGCTGCCGTGAGCTACGTGAGTGGCCAGCAGCCAGTGTGAGTTACTGGGAGCCACTGGGAGCTGCCAACCAATGACCCACGACCGATTGCCTCACCCGGCAAGAGCGCAATAATACTGACATGGGCCAGTGAAGCAACGTCCTCCACAACTAGACTGAAGAACAAAACCAATTTGTCTACCTGTCTGTTCCCCTTCCCCGATTCCCCAATGCTGTTCCCCTCCCCCCTCCAAAAAAAAAAGAAAAGAAAAGGGTCCTAGAGGCACCTTTTTATGGTGAATGGCTTGCCAGCCCAGAGCCCCGTTAGTAGGTTGGGCCCCGGTGACAGGTGGCTGTGGTAGAACCAGTTGGCCACACTAGCAGCACTAGAAAAAATCACAGCACTGCCTGCTGAGATTTCTTCCAAATCAGCACAGATAGAAAAGGAACACTGTGGCCCCATAGACTCTTGGAGAAGTTTCTGTGTTTAATTGTTGCCGTGCGTAGGCTCACTTAGCGTGTGCTGTTTGTTTATCAGAACCCACACGGCTGAGATGCCTGACCCGTGTGTGTCCCCGGCTGGGCCCCTCGTGTGCACACTAACCACGGAGTCTGGGGACAGCGACACATTTGGTCTTTTCCTTACTGACTTTTTCTCAGTGATGGGTACTCACTGTTCAATTTGTTTGCTTACAAAAGTAGATCATAGTAGATCTTTCTTTGAATTAAGTTTCATTTTAGGCACCCCATATAAATTCTCACCGTTATGGAAGAAAGCCATCAAGCGATGGTGTCTTCTTACTCCACAGCCCGCCATTTATACCGGTGCATCATTTGATCCAGACAGCAGAGGGGCCGTGAGTCACATTGTGCAGAACTGAGCGTAAGACAGGCACTTCCTGGTCACGCTGTGGGCTGGGGGCCGGCAGAGAGGGCGTTCGAAGACAGTTTTGTTCACACAGAGCGAGAGGAATGAACCCTTGACCGTGAGCTCAGAGCCAACTACTTCATCTGATTTCTCAGCTTTATCCTTTGTTAAGGGAAAAATAACAATGCTTAGAGTTGTGCTTGTCATTGCCACTGGCATCAGTAATAATAAAGTTTTTTAAACTGTTAGTAAAGTAAGTCATCTTAAATGCGTGCACAGGAGAGCTGTGACCTGCAGAGACCCCCAGTGAAACGAACGGCTTGTTCGCTGCTCGGGTCTTCCGCGAGGCTGGGACCCTGCAGTGCATGCACATCTGCAGGTTTTCATTTTTTCTACTTGTCACTAATGTCAGCGTCCATATTTCAGGAAGTGTGGCTGCATGTCCTGAAATAGGCGCATCAACCCTTGTCTTACTCTGTTTATATCTGCAGTCCTATTTAAATTCAGTATTTGCAACCACAAAAGGTGTTAGAAAATACTATTTCAGGCTTAGGAGAGAAAGTACAGCAGGATGTGCTTCAAATCATAAGCCGTGCTTATTTCTGGGCCACTAGAGCTAACATTCTGCAAAAACAGTCATGACTGAATAGCGAGCATGGGAGCGGCAGCCTCAAGGCTTTCCTCACATGCTAGGCCTTGTCCCCACGAAGCGTGGGCACAGCTGGCCAGGCAGCACCTCCCGTGACGATGGGTTGGGCCATGCAGAGCGTCACCAGTAGGTGACACAGGCTGAAGTCAGGCTCACAGCTGTATACCCAGCTGCCCTGAGCCTGTGCCCACTGTGGAGTGGCTCCAGTGTTTGAAACATACTGTGTAATAAGGAAACAAAGTGACTTCCTCAAGGGAGAGCCGTCACCTGTCCCATCTGGGGGTTCGGGGAGGGGTGAGCACTGCCAGCCCCTTCGGGCTGGGCACCATTGGCTTCACCTGCTTTAACCTCTTCTGAGTCCAGTTGTCTGTTTTCTGAACTGGACAGCCAGTGGTGTAACACCGACGCCACTGAGTCCTGCGGATTAAATGAGATCGTCCAGCTCTGGACGCTGCTGGTTCCAAGTCAGGCGACCTTGAGGAAGGCTTTCGGCCTTTTTTGAGCCTCGGCTGCTTCATCACAAAAGCAGATGGTCACACTCAAACGCTAAAGGGTTGTGTGAAGATTCCCAGCCATGTCTGTAAAGGGCCGGCCACCCAGGGGCTCAGACGGTGGCTGCTGTGATTCTTGGGCAGTAGCCGAGAGGGGAGATTAAACCGCCCTTAGAAAGCATGGCGTCAGCGCTTCTTGTCACAACCTTGGAAAGGAACCTCAGAACCATGCAGGTTTGTGTTTTGAGGAAGGATACTCAACACAAACATGGACAAAATAAGACAGACCAGGTTTATCAGGACCTACATGCTGCATGGAGCCCAGCACGTCTGGAGAGCTACCAGTTCAGGAAGAAGTGTCGGAAGGCGACCCTGGTCCCATCACGCAGTGTACATAACCATTCCCTCACACCTGTCAGCAGCATGAGGGCCTGTGACAGTAGCCCTTACTAAGGAAGTGATGAGCTGTCAGCACTGGCCAAACAGGCCCAAGGACAGAGGACACACGGCTGTAGACGCAGCCGCCAGCCCCGTGGGAGCGAGCACTGCGCTCTGGGCTGCTAGGGAAAGGCGGGGGTCACATGCACAGTGTGCGGCTGTCACACGCCCGTGCTCTGGCCGTGTCACAAGGACAGCTGCATCTGCAGGACCGCTGCAGGCCAGGCCCTGTGCCAGCCTCCTTGTGCGGGCAGCTGTCCTGTGGGCCGGGGGTGGCCACCCTCGGTCCACCAAGCACACTTGTGAGCAGCCAGAGGGCGGCGGGAGCGGTGCGGTGACACCAAGTCAGCACTCAAGTTCCTGTCGTCCTTGGCCACTTCCTCACGACGGTCCGTGGAACGAGGGAGCTCAGTGGCCACACCTCCAGCTCTACGTCTGCTTCGAACCCAGAACTGCGTTGCTTGGGAGTGAGATCAAAGGGCAAAAGCAAATACCCCACCAAACGTCCTGTGCATGTGCACCCAGAACAGCCCGGACGCATGCTCCCACACCTCACAACTGGGGGGGGGGGTTGCTTTTTCATTTTTATTAGTTTCAGGTGTACAAAACAAGGTAATGGTTAGACATTTACACCCCTCACAAACTGATAACCCCCCAATCTGCTACCCCTCTGACATCGTATGTAGCTGTTACAATTCCACTGACTCTGTTCCCTATGCTGTGCTCCACCTCCTCTGACTACACACACACACATAACTTAATTACAGTTGACATACAATATTATTCAGCTTCAGGTGTACAGTGCAGTGGTCCGGCATCTACACCGTCCATGAAGTGGTCTCCCTAATAAGACAAGTGCCCATCTGACGCCCTTCAAAATCTTTACATTATTGATTAGATTCCCCAAACTGTCTTTCCTATCACCGTGGCAATCCTGTGGGTTTGATTTTGAAATTGAAGACACCAGACCCTACCTCCAGGGAAACATGCATTTCCAAAGTAACTTTCAGCTGATTTACTCACACTTAAACATTTACTGAGTTTCTAAGGGCCCCCCCCCAAGTGAGTTCTTCTGGTAAAACCTATCCAATAAAGTCAAATTTCCAGATTTTAAAAAAGAAGTGAATATTTTCCCATAAAGTAGGGGGAAACAGAGCAGGGAATCTGCACTTAGCAGCTGGTCGCATCTTGGGCTGGGTTGAGACCCTTTGCTAATAACAGTTGTGACCCCGTGCTGTGTCACTCGTGGCCACTCCAACACACTGGTTTCACAGAAGTCGCCTATAGCTTGTGCTTTCAGAGTCTGATCGTTTGAGAAATCAGACTAATGCACATGAAACAACATTCAACCTTGACCCTCCAAAGAAACTGCTCTCACACGCCTCATGGCGGCCACGGCCAGTTGTTCCCCAACTCCTTCTTCCCTCCTGGTGGCAGAATGTTTGCTGGGTGAGGCAGCTCGGCCACGTCACAGCTCATGGGATGGCGGGGAAGTGACATGAAACTTCTGGGGCACCCTTGACATTAAGGGTCCCCACCTTCTGTCTTTGCTGCTGTCTGTCCTGTGACTGTGGCGATGAGCCATCACTGACCACAAGGAGTACTGGGAGGGGGCAGCTGTGCTCCCAAATATCAAAGCATTCATAAAGAAACAGAATTTAAATAGTGGAACTGTTGCATACTCATTCTTTTTAAACATAATAGTGTACAAACAGGTCATATGCACACAGGAATTAGTATATGATACAGGTCATTCAAATCACTAGGATAAGAATGATGGGAAACAACTGACGATGCAGTTACAAACAGATTACGTTGGATCTCCACCTCAGCCCATTGTAAAAAGATGCAACACTTTTTAAAACCAGAAGAAAGTATTTAAAATTTTCCACAGTGTTGGGATGCAAAAGATTTTGCTACGCATGGTGGGGAAACCCAGAAGCTATAGAGAGAAGAGGACAGATCTGACAATGTGAAGATGGGAAACTGCCAAGCGAGAGACACACGAACATGAGGAAGGAAGTGTCTGCAAGGTATGTGACAAAAGTGCTATCCACAATCTGTAAGTAAGTTCTTCGTATCAAGATTAAGTCAAGCTGGCCAAAGAGCACTAAAAGAGAAATCGTAACAAAAGAAACACGAACAGCCAATAAACCCCTGATGTCTGTCTGCACCCACTGATACATTTAAAATGGTGCATTTGTCACCTAAGATTGGCAAAGACTAAAAATACCCACTGTTGGCAAGAATGTGAAGAAATAAGCCCTGTCATGCACACTGGAGGAAGTGTAAAGTCAGAATTTTTAACCTTTTTGGAATGTAGTTTGCCAATGTTTATAATAATTTAAAGTATGAGTTCTAGCAATTCTATTTCTAGAAATGTATTCTAAAGAATTCCATAAATATAAGAATATTCTCTACATTGCTTCTAATAGGATAAAACCAGAAACGAGCTAAATGTCCCATTAGAGGAGACCAGTTAAACAAATTATGATACACCCATACAGAAGGTTATTATGACTGTACTGACTACCTATTATCATATAGCAGAAGTGCCCCCAAACTTAGTGGCTTCAAACGGCGACATTTATTATTCTCACCATTTCGGGCTCAAGATCTCATGAGGTTGCTGTCACTGACAGCTGCCCTGAAGCTGGCAGAGCGTCCTCCAAGGTGGGTCACTTGGGTGGCGAGGTGTCTCTGGCTGCTGCCCATGTGGCCTCCTCCACAGGCAGTGTCCTCTGGAATGGTGGCTTGCGTCCCCCTAAGTGAGCAGTTCAGGAGAGGCCAAGGTGGAAGCTGAGATGACTTTTAGGACCTGGCCCCCTAAGTCCCACAATGTCACTGCCACATGTTCCATCGACCACACAGCACAGCTACGAATGACGGGGAGGGGCGTGTGTGAGAGTGTAAGTACTGGGCAGCAGGGATCATTGAAGCTGAAACTCAAAGGCTGAGTGGTAGTTACGTCAGGTAAAGCGCGCAGGGACACCGCTTCTAAAACCCTTGAAGGACGTTTATGAATCGGAGCAGAGATGAGCTGGAGACACAGTGGAGCCTGGTTCCTGGCAGTGTTTGAGAGCACCCTTATGGAGCTTGGTTCTTACAGGAAGCTTGTAAGCCACCGAGAGTGTTTTGAGGGGTCAGTCTGGCTCCTACATGGAAGGTGGGTCGAGTGGACAAGGAATGGAGTAAGGCAATCAGTCAGGAGGCTATTGAAAGGACCAGACAAGAAATAACTTGGATTAGGGTGGTGACAACTGAGATGGGGAAAAGTCGGGCACGTTCTGAGATATTTAGGAATAAACCCAACAGGACTCAGCGTTTGCCTGGACATATGTGGATCAGACAGTAGGAAGGATTCAAGTTGGGCTCCCAGAGCTGGAGGATTTGAAACAGCTCAATTTTTAACAAGTTGCGTTAAATTGTTAACATGTTCATGTCCAATAGGCAGTGGACTCAAGGGACCTGGAGGTCTGTGGATATGCCTGGACATAAGAAAAATTTATGAGTCATCGGAACCTCAGTGAAGATTGGAGCCATAAGCCAGAGAATCATGGATTTCTAAGAAGAGGAGCTTGCACGAGACTGAAAAGGTAAGTCGGGCCGACAGGAGGAACACGGCAGAGTCTGCTGTTGAAGAAGACAAGAATGAGCAACTCGCCAACTGTATTTCACGTACGTCATCTTCATATGAAAGACTAAATACTAAGCCAAGCAGTTAAAATTGGACATTGCACATCAGACAGGAAAAGCCAGGGGAGAGGAGCTGTGTCCCGTGGCCCCAAGGCAAGATGCACTTGTGACCTCTGGTGTGGGGCCTCTCCAGGGGTGACGTACAGACACACACCCTGGGGATCATGTGAAAATGCAGATTCTGGCACAGTAGGTCTTGGGGAGGGCCTGAGACCCTGCATTTATACGGAGGCCCCCAGGAATGCCTGTCTGGATAGTCCACAGACCACATTTTTGAGCAGCAAGGTGGCTCCCAGACTTCCCTGAGCAGACTCTCGTGGAGGACTTGACGGACTCCTGGGCCCCCACCCCACAGATTGGGGTTCGGCAGGTCTGGGGTAGGACCTGATCACTTGTATTTCTAACAAGCTCCTGCTGATGGTGGGTGATGCCACAGGTCCCCAGACCACTGTTCCAGAAGACCGCGGTTTAACTGTTGCTGGAGTCCATCTGGGCTTGAAAACAGAATGCAAACAAGCATTCCTGTCCACCGCTGCTGTCCCAGTCCATAGCCAGGGCCCAATGTCACCCACAGGACTTCTGTGTCCCAGCTACGGGCTCCTTATCTGAGTTACTCGCGCCCAACACGCATCTCGGCATGGGTGCCTACTTCTAAGCCTCGGAGCTTCACCTTGCTTGGTAAAGCCGCTTCACATCAGAGCAGGCAGCTGGCAACGAGCCCTGTTCAGAAGGGACACAGGTTCAGGTGACACAGCCTAAGAACCCTACACAACTGGGGGGGAGGGGGTCGGATTTAAGGAGGAATCAGTTCGCGTGTGTACATATGAAGCACGCCAACGTTTTATGGGAGGCATCTCCGCGTGAAAGAGCAAGACTGTAACACGGTCCCGTGTCCGTAACCCGAAGGCGACGCGCACAGCCAGGCTGACGCGACGAGCCACCTGAAGCCACCGGCATTATTAAAGCAGATACGTCGGTCCGCTCGCGCGAAATGCCCGCCCGTTAACAGCGACAGCCACACCGAGAACGTCCACCCGGTGGCCCGCGGAGGCGTCCTGGAGGGAGGACTTCTTGCGGGGCCCGGACGCGGAGCACCGCGCCGGCTCGGCTGGGACGGAACAGACAGGCCCACGGCGTGGGGTCGCGAAGACGGCAGAGCGGCGCCGTCCCCGCCGTGAAGACCGACGCAGAAAGACGCGGCCCGACACCAAGGGGTCTGGAGCCAAGACGGTGTCGGCGCGGACCCGGCCGCCGGCGGTCGGCGACCTCCAGCGCGCACGCGCGGAAACCCGGGCGCAGAGGCCGGGCGGGGCCGCGGGGACGTCCGCGTGCGCGCACTGCGCCGGGACGAGCGGGACGGGGACGCGGCGGGAGAGGAGGCCGCCCTCGCTCCGCCCCGAGCCGCGCACCCGCTCCGGCCGGGGCGCGAGCGGAAGTGCGCCGCTTCTTTCCGGCCGGCGCCGCACGGGACGGGGCGGGGGCATCAGGAGGGGGCGGGCTCGCTCCGCCCCGAGCCGCGCACCCGCTCCGGCCGGGGCGCGAGCGGAAGTGCGCCGCTTCTTTCCGGCCGGCGCCGCACGGGACGGGGCGGGG